GAGATGCGGCGCTGAGTTCAGGGCTGCAACTGTGCACGCGTCGGTTACCCTCAGACCGCTCCGCACGCAGCCCCGCGCCACCCAAGCTTAGCGCACAACACAGGAGCTGTGTCTCCTCGTCTCCCCAAAACTCCCCCTTTCCCTAAACCTCCTCTCCTCCCAACCTTTCCATCGCCCATCCCCTACGCATATTCCCTCGCCTTTACCACTTTCTCGTCTGAACTTCCCCTCTCCTTTCTTATCTTCGCTTCATCTTTTTTCTCCCTTCCCTTTTCCTCCCTCACTACTCCCCCTACACCATCTCCATCTTTCTCTCCCTCTCTCTTCTTTTGGTAATCATCCTCACTTCACCTACCCCTCTCCCATCTACCCCTATTCTATCTTGACCTGTTTCATATACCTTTAACTCGGCTGCCCCTCTCCGCTTGGTGTCTGGTTAAGGAAGAGAGCTCTCGGCAAGTTTTGTCAGAGATTCCTCCATTTCCGCTCAATAAACCAGTTCATTGTCATCAATGCAATTATCCACACATCAGAGATTAGATTGCAGGCCTCAATGATCTCAACAGCTGGAAGTCGTCTAGACTGAGGTAAATGAATAAATGAAAAGCAGAAGAGGTAAAGGAGACGGTGGAGGTGGTTAGAGACACGCTAGAAAGTGGAGGCGGAGGATGAGAAGTTCAAAGAGGAGAAAGAGAATATGAAGGAAAAAGAGAAGTGGAGGAGGAAAAGGAATGGCGTTTGTGAGGCCGAGGAGCGCTTGGCGCAGTTGTCGCCGCGTCGGCGCCGGCGCCGCCGTTTTGTGCTGGCGCGCGGCGTCGGGTGGGGGCGTCGCGACGCCCCATTGTGCCGGCCCGTTGTTTCGCCGCGCCCTCGCCCTCGCCCTCGCCCTCGCCCTCGCCCTCGCCCTCGCCCTCGCCCTCGCCCTCGCCCGCGCCGCGCCGCGCCGCGCCGCGCCGCGCCGCGCTGCGCTGCGCTGCACGACGCGATGTCTGCTCCCGCAGGACGGAGCCCGCGGCCCGCGGGGACTGCTCCAAGTCGGCGGCTGGGGAGGCTCCTGGGAATGGATTATTCCTCTGGAGGTGATCGAGTTCCCGAAGCCTTTGGGTTCTCTCACTTTTGTAGAATTCGTTGTTTTTTTACTTTTATTCTTTATGCTGTTTATTCTCTAAATAAAATGTTTACATAAATATTAATTGTTTTTACGAAATATTTTGAAATCATTGAAATGCCTGTTAACTCCTTTCCTGCCTTGGAGGATTTCTCTACTACATTAAAGCGTTGGTTGATACGGTAAAGTAAAACTTAAAGAGGGATAAACCTTTTGCCAAGAGATGAGTAACGTACCTAAACCCTGCTCTTCACTAATTAATAATGGCTGATGCACTTGTCACTTAGTTGTATTACTTTTCATTGTGTTCTTTCATAAACTCATTCACGGCTTATTGCCCGGAATGAAACTGTGAAATGGGAACTCGCTTCATACTTTCAACGATAGACAAGAACATGCGCTCGTACACTATTTCATAGTCTTAATCGTTGGCTCTCATACAGGATGACTGCTTTCTGAAAAAAACAGGAAAAGTCTAAAAACCGGAGGGAAATACAAATGAAAACAAATTAACAGGAAAAATGGACGGAAGTCGCGGGTTAGGTAAAAAAATTGTGCAAATGTGCTTTAGACTTGAGCCTGTACACTGGGTGAACGGGAAAGAGAATAACGTTCAGTAATCTAGCAGAAACATCTTTTCTCTATAACCATAATTTTGTGCTGTTGTGTTTTTCAAGTATCCAAAAATTTATATTTTTTGCTCCAACGGTTTTAAAAAAATTTGTGACTTTGCTGGCAAAGTCAATTTAACAATAAAAATTTTCTGTACGTACAGAATATTGTATTATTTTTGATTTTTTAATATATAAACATATTTTTTGGCTCTTAACAACATCCAAGATTTAAAAAAAAACGATGTAGCAAAAAAAATATTTTTGGGTATTTTAAAAGCACAAAATAGCACATAATTCTGGTTATAGATAAAATGTACTTTGCGTGTGTTTAAGCATCGCAATTCGTTGTTTAATTCGCTGAGAGAGCTCAGAATTTGTCGCCGGCGCCACTAAGCAGCATCCAATGGCTATGGCCCCTGAAAATGGAACAGTTCGCCTGGCACCACACGTCGGCGTTAGAACCCGATTTCCATCACGAAGTATTCCAAGAAAGATACAAGTGTTATGTGTCAGCTGCCTCGGGAGTTATTTTCACGTTCCTGAAAATGTTCGCGTGCAGACGTGCATCCGCCGCTCTGCTGCGACAGCGCTTGCTCACGGAGTGAAATCTTTAACTTGTGTCCCGGGAGAGGAAAATAGCCAGGAACGTATACGAAGGCAGGCGGAGTCGAGTGATCAGGTTGCCCAAGACACAAATCATTAGCGAGAACGCGCCACCTCGAACGTTAAATAACTATGGATCTCCCGCGCATGCGCAGTCCAAGTTTCGCACTATTTTAGTGTACGAGTATTTGCGCTTGCGCAGAAGATCGATAGTGCTGACTCTATGGCGCGCACAAATTCCCATTTTCCGGTTCGGTGGGCCGAAATCGTAAAGGCAGTAGAGCCGTAGCGTTCTCGAACGGAAGGATCGGGGGTTCGTGCTCCGCCTCTATCATGGTTGCATTTGTGTTCGTCCTTTCACACCCCATATCATCTCCATATCATGTCACCTTCACCGTTACCATACCGTTAAAATGCATTAGTAATGGCTATTGACTTAGATGTTGATGCGAACTTAAAATAACAAAAAATCTCCTATTTACATTGGTTTGGAGTTTGAATTAGAAGTTCCTTCCTCGGATCAGAAGTTTTCCCGCGCAATTATGACGCTTCGCCACGCGTGTCCATGTTAAGGATTTCGACGCTCGCGTCAACATAAAACATCCTTGGGCCTATTCAATTCAGGATTTTAACAGCACTTTAAGCAAAGAAAGTGAAGCGTACATTCGTACGAACCTACGTACCTTCGTTTACATTTCTGGCTTCACATTTTGCTCTCCCGAGACACAACCAAATATTTACGTCGCCGACAAGAAATTTGGGGAAACGGTTGTCTGAGAGTCAAGAACCACTAAAAGCGCCGAGGTATGCGACAATGTGGGCTTCGTGTGCAACACTATCAACCATGAGTTGGTTCATCATCAAGTCTGCTTCATTAATTTGGTGGTCTTATAAAATGGCGTGTAGTTATTAGTTAAATTACGCAAGATCTCGTTTTAGCAGAACAGTAGTAATAATTGCCAATTACACTAAGAGGATAGTAATAAAGACGTGATTAACATAATTCATCTCTGATTGGTTTGTGTGGTCTGAATTCTTAGCAATATTAGCAGAAATTTCTTGATATTTCTTGTCCGTTTAACGAGTAGTCTTGACAAATGAAATTCTTTAACAGAAAACCCATAATTTTTAACATAAAACGTATGGTGAAAACACCACTCATTACCACATTCGTAGTCTGATATTACGTTTCCAATCAGTTTCACACACTGAAGAGATGCGAGTTATTACGGATTACGCGAAAGGATTATGGAATTAGTCTTCTATGGCATGTTGTTCTAAGATAAAAACTACTGTGGTTCTTTTAATCTTAAACCAGATTTTACACGATAAACGTTATCGAGCCTTATTCAACTTACAGTTTTTGTTTCGTAGAACTGTAGATAGTTGCAATGCGACTGAAAAAGCTTTATGCTGTAATAAACACTTATGACAAAGCAATGCTTCATATTTATTTCTATAATGATGCCAATGTCAAACCCAACACCATTTCCTACCACAATGGTGATAGGAGCAACGGACGTGAGGTATTGCATACCTCAGCTCTGGTAGGTGGTAGGCAAGGATCAATGTCAACCAAGTTTAGACAGCAATGTCAGCCAATCGAGACTATTCCATTCCATTAGTTTATACATCTTTTAAGTGTATTAATTTGATGTCATCGAACTATGTACTCTAATATTTTAATATTTTATCTTATTTATATGTGTAGATTTGACTGAGTTAGATTTTTAATGTACCTATTGTACATGGTGAGACTTATCTTTTCATAGCATCCTAGTTAATTTTTACATACGTTAGTACCTTGCAAACCGTTTTTCTTGCATACTGCATACGCACTATAGAGAAAGTTATGTAATGCTGCGACGAAAAGCAGCGATTTTCGGTGTCTGTTCGACTTAGATCAAAAACTTAAGTTCCTGAATCTTACATAGTATATAATTCTTGTTTCTACATAAATTTGAAACGGACGTTTTAACTTTTAAGGGTACGTACTTTACGAGAAATCTCAAGAGCATTTTGATTTTTTCTCAAAAATCTTTAAAATGTCTTCAAATTTTAGGATGACATTTTTTAGGATATATAGCTAAATATATGTATATATAAAAATTACGTAAGTCTGATTTTCATTTAAGTGTCTACATTCTCAAAAACTGTAGAAATTCAAACTTTTTGTCTTTCTACAATAGTATTGAAAATAGAACGTTTTCTTCTTAATGAAATATGATGTTCAAAAATATTTTTTAAATGAGGCCTTGTACAAATTTAAAATGTGTGAGTAGTTTTGGATTAATTTTGTTATAAAGGACATTAAATTTAAAGAATTCTCAGAAGGCTATTTTTTTTAACCTTCTTTGTACGGTTAATGATAAATTCCCTGAAAAACAGGAAATCAACGCCATTTTGATGAATTCTTTCAATTCTTTACAAAATACACAAAAAGTAATTGTTTACACATCTCACAATGGTTTTTATACACAATGCATTGGTGACCAAAAGTGCTTCAAATTATTTCTTAGGAAATTTCTCAAAACCTCTAAAGATCTGAGAATATTAACTCGAAATTGCATTTTTTAATGCTCCAACGTAATTTTCTCAAGAATGGCTCAAAGGTTCTCAATGAGAATTTACTTGAAAGTCTGATGTGCATTCATTAAGTCCAATTTTAATTCTTCTATTAGGAGACCGAAAAAAAATTATAAAATGAGGGAGGGATACCTTTTTAGATGTCAATAGGTACACGATAAGACGGTGGGCAATACCGGAAAGCCTAGCCTAGACTAAAGAGATTAGAAAAGTAACTAGTGCAAGAACATCTGTGCCGTTCTGTAGCATCACTAGTTCAACACTTGATAAGGAATGGCAGAGTGCGCTCGCAACCTGGAGCTATTATAATTGAAAGGCTTAGTATTTTGCATAAGGTTGTATTGTATATTGTAGTGTTGTTGGAAAGTATTGTAGTACCAGGGTTTCTTAATGATTGATATTATCCAATACCTTGTGCAATGTTCTAGCCCTTTTCCCAAGGAAAATTTAATTACAACACTTAGTTATATTCTCAAAATATATTTAATTTTATTAACTATTCTGAATGATAGGGGTATTCTTCTTTTCAGATACCTCATCAAAGTCCTTTTGGGTAGAGAATAGTACTCAATTGCTCCACCCAGCCTTCTACTTTGTCTCCAGCTTCAGTGCAGTACAATGGCGACAACGGTAAGAACAACCACTTGCCTCACTTGTGACTTCACAGTGGCATGAATGCCTCTTCCTTGCCCCGAACTCCGGTTGTGCTTGTTCATGAGTTTAGAAGTGAACACATCACATGGTTTGCGTAAGCCTCCGCGCAAGTGGCTGTCTTTGGGAGCGAGTGGCGGGGAGGCAGGCGTTGCTGGAGTCGGGGCAGCGTTGCCCGCAGCGAGGCAGTCTGCCTTGGCGGCCGCGGGCGTGTGTTCAGAAGTAATGGGATGTGGGCTGGTTGAAGGCGCGACTGCGGGAGGCTGTTGCAGAGCTCTCTGGGAGTGATGTGTTTTTCACGAGCTCCGAAATATTATCGTCATGTTTCCTGCATTAATATAGTCAAAATGGAGCCTTTCAGGAAGGAATGAAATCGATCGTCAAATGTCAGTAGCGAGAATAAAGAAATGAGTGAAAACAGAAATAATGAGAACTTGAGAGAGGATCATGAGAAAGCAATATTTTTAAAATGTAATATTTGAGTCATAGAATTTGAAATCCACTGATTAGACTCAAAACCTTGGTATTATACATGTTAATAGCAATGTTGGTTTGATTAGGGACCACCTGAATTTTTGAAAAATATTATTGAGAGATACGTAGAAAGGAAAAGCTAGAGTAAACCCACTTTGGAACAGTTATACATGCGTCACAACACAGACCGAGAGTATATGTATACCTCACTTGAAAATTAAACATCTTAAGGCTAAATGTCCCGACACTAGTACAATTTGTAGCCACTACGTGGCATCACCAAAATAAGTAAAATTTACTTATAACGATAACGACTGAACAAATGGTTCGATTTTCGATCTGTAAACGGCATTTGACGCCTTTTTAAAATAGAATTTACCCTTTGTCAGCGCGGTGGCACGGACAGGCCCGGCGGTTAAAGCGGTGCTACGTCTAAGATTAATTTTTAGCTCTGCAAATAATTCAGCAATT